AGATCTGCTTAAAGCATCGTTTTTTTCATACATAGGCTTTCATTAATGGGCTTTGCCAACCCCCCCAGCAATGTAAATTTATTTTTCAACACATTTTTTATACTGTATTACTTTGAAGCAAACACATTAGGAATTAGGTAGAGTGAATGATTCTGTAGCAAATCACATATCCTTAACTTTTAATAAGTAGGTCTTGTGACCTCCATGCTTTGTGACCTAAAGTGATAACATCTAGTAGACTTTAAAGTTGACAAAAGTGGAAAAGTATTCTCTGATTTTATCCTCGACAATGCAAAGTTATTATGTTATGTTACCTGATTTCATCATGGTCATGTGATCCAGGACCAAAACACCAATGAATCTGTCATATCACAGTTGACATGTAAGTTTAGTTGCTTTTCCACAATCCCTTTACATCTTCCAAGCAATAATCTTTTTGTATATTACCAATTCAGCCACAGCGATCTGACATTCTCAGTTTTATTTCTGTCACATTTTGAAGCAACAAATCAAAATTGCAGGGAATACTGCAAAGACGATGGACGCCGCTCAAACCAGCCTAATGAAATCTGTGTTGGCCTCAGCCACCGCTCAAGCCACTCCCAACCATAAGGGCTTGGTCACAGAGGTCTTGCAGGGAATACTACCGCAATGTTAGCTGAAGCATTAAATAACATAACATATATGCTCCATCTGTGCATAATTATCAACTGGTAAACCAAGATAGCATATTGTCTTGTAAATTCGCTTTTAACGCATTTTTCCTTACCGTGAGTACTCGCAGTTGGATGCGCAGAAATCCCCCATAAAGCTGTGCGAATCTCGCTGCAGCCGTATCACGCCTTCCACTTACCACGACTGCAGCTAAACTCCATGATTCCTGCGCCTCCAACTGGTTTAGCTATCTCGAGATGTGAGGAAATGGAGCTCCAGGTACCCAGGAATGATCACACGACACTCTCAGGTTGCTGTTGGAATTCACATAGAGACGGATTCAACCCCAGCCTCCAATTTTTTATTACAACACACACACACCCCCCCACATGAGACAGGTCAATCCCCTCCCACAGAACAATGCATGGGGGTGCCTATACACAGGATGTACATTCCAAGTGGAGCGTAGCCTTTCCTCTTATCTATCACCAGTCCTCTCCTCCCTCCATAAGCTCTCTGAGGGAAGCAACCTTCCCCCTCCTATTAGCTCCTAGTGGTATGTAAATTCTCTGTACAAGCATCCCCTAGATTAAACAGTGTCAGTCTGTATCTGAATGGGCCCGATACGATCTTTATTAAAACACATCCATCCAGATACAGTTTCAGGTCGGTAATGGCTTGTAAGATATACAGTCAGGTCCATAAATATTGGGACATCAACACAATTCTAACATTTTTGGCTCTATATACCACCACAATGGATTTGAAATGAAACAAGATGTGCTTTAACTGCAGACTGTCAGCATTAATTTGAGGGTATTTACATTCAAATTAGGTGAACGGTGTAGGAATTACAACAGTTTGCATATGTGCCTCCCACTTGTTAAGGGACCAGAAGTAATGGGACAGAATAATAATCATAAATCAAACTTTCACTTTTTAATACTTGGTCGCAAATCCTTAGCAGTCAATTACAGCCTGAAGTCTGGAATGCATAGACATCACCAGACGCTGGGTTTCATTCCTGGTGATGCTCTGCCAGGCCTCTACTGCAACTGTCTTCAGTTCCTGCTTGTTCTTGGGGCATTTTCCCTTCAGTTTTGTCTTCAGCAAGTGAAATGCATGCTCAATCGGATTCAGGTCAGGTGATTGACTTGGCCATTGTATAACATTCCACACTGTGGAAGTGGCATCCAATGAGTTGTGAAGCATTTGGCTGAATATGAGCAGATAATATTGCCCAAAACACTTCAGAATTCATCCAGCTGCTTTTGTCAGCAGTCACTTCATCAATAAATACAAGAGAACCAGTTCCATTGGTAGCCATACATGCCCACGCCATGACACTACCACCACCATGCTTCACTGATGAGGTGGTATGCTTAGGATCATGAGCAGTTCCTTTCCTTCTCCATACTCTTCTCTTCCCATCACTCTGGTACAAGTTGATCTTGGTCTCATCTGTCCATAGGATGTTGTTCTAGAACTGTAAAGACTTTTTTAGATGTCGTTTGGCAAACTCTAATCTGGCCTTCCTGTTTTTGAGGCTCACCAATGGTTTACATCGTGTGGTGAACCCTCTGTATTCACTCTGGTGAAGTCTTTTCTTGATTGTTGACTTTGACACACATACACCTACCTCCTGGAGAGTGTTCTTGATCTGGCCAACTGTTGTGAAGGGTGTTTTCTTCACCAGGGAAAGAATTCTTCGGTCATCCACCACAGTTTTTTTTCCGTGGTCTTCAGGGTCTTTTGGTGTTGCTGAGCTCACCGGTGCGTTCCTTCTTTTTAAGAATGTTCAAACAGTTGTTTTGGCCACTCCAAATGTTTTTGCTATCTCTCTGATGGGTTTGTTTTGTTTTTGCAGCCTAATGATGGCTAGCTTCACTGATAGTGACAGCTCTTTGGATCTCATCTTGAGAGTTGACAGCAACAGATTCCAAATGCAAATAGCACACTTGAAATGAACTCTGGACCTTTTATCTGCTCATTGTAATTGGGATAATGAGGGAATGACACACACCTGGCCATGGAACAGCTGAGAAGCCATTTGTCCCATTACTTTTGGTCCCTTAACAAGTGGGAGGGACATATGCAAACTATTGTAATTCCTACACCGTTCACCTGATTTGTATGTAAATACCCTCAAATTAAAGCTGAAAGTCTGCAGTTAAAGCACATCTTGTTCGTTTCATTTCAAATCAATTGTGGTGGTGTATAGAGCCAAAAATGTTAGAATTGTGTCGATGTCCCAATATTAATGGACCTGACTGTACATGAGCCTACACACGGAGTTCGCACTGCTTGGCGCCTTGCGGTATGAAGTCCATGTGGTACTATACTGCTGATATGTGGATACAGGCCCACGGCCTACCGCCGGCGGCATTCGCATCGAATGCCATGGTGGTATACACGACGGTCTATAAGCGCAGATCTGCCATCTCATCCGTTACCGAGCTAAGTACTGTAATACATACATTGTAAATGCGCATGGCCCAATTGCAGCCTTCAGAGCTTTAATTAAGCCACACAAGAGACATATGAATAACACTAATATATGACACATTTAAAGTTCAACCTGTAAATACAAAATTTACATGACACATATTCAAGGCTATTATGAAATCAGTCAAAAGTCATTCAGGTGAAACAATGGTGGCATGTCATATTTGATGGCAAGCTTCAATATTATTTATACAATTGTCAAACATATAGCCAGCATTAATCAGAACTAAATGTAAATCTAATTTATTTACCTATTTTGGATATTTACCTCCATAGCCTAGATACAGAACAATGCTTTAGAACAGGAATCACCAAACTTTTATAAATATAGACCAGTTTACTATCTGTCAGGGCTCCCAGGTATGACCAGAGGTGTGTGACTGAAGCAGGGAAACGCAGACTTCAGATATGTGATTAACAATGTAATTTATTAACACTAACAATACAAACATAAACGCAGTGCAATACTAAACATAATACAGTGCAAACAAACCCAACCAACCACCCACAGATAACAGTACATACAAGCAAGCGTCGTCAGGCAGGCCGAGTCAATATCAATTGGGCAGGTAGGTACAGGGGGAGCAAGCGGAGAATGGTCGGGGTCACAGGCCAGGTTCAGCAGGTAGCAAGCAGCGTAGTACAGAGGGTCAGGCAGAGGGATGGTCAGGGTCACAAGCCAGGGATCAGAACAGGTAGCAAAGGAACAGAAACAGGATGCAGGACAGATACAGGGCCCAGGACAAACACAACACCAAGGCAGAGTCTGCAAGTCTGGCCATCCCTTAAATACACCAGTATCATCAGTTCCAGGTGTTTAGCTGGCTGAAAGGTTGAGTCTCCGATTGCTGGGAGCACCCGCTGGCCAGCCCTGGTACTGCAGATCAAAAGGCAGGTGAGTCCCACCATTGCTGGCCAGTCCATTCCTGACAGTACCCCCCCCCTCAAGGAGCGGCCTCAGGACGCTCCAAACAGTCCTAGCTGGGAAAAATGTTCCACCGCCCGGGTCTGGTAACTGGCGGGATATCAAAGACTGGCACACCGGGCAGGACTCCGGGCAGCGGTACACCGGGCAGAGGCACATCGGGCTGGACTCCGGGCAGAGGCACACCGGGCAGAGCCACACCGGGCAGAGGCACATCGGGCTGGACTCCGGGCAGGCACATCGGGCTGGACTCCGGGCAGAGGCACATCGGGCTGGACTCCGGGCAGAGGCACATCGGGCTGGACTCCGGGCAGAGGCACATCGGGCTGGACTCCGGGCAGAGGCACATCGGGCTGGACTCCGGGCAGAGGCACATCGGGCTGGACTCCGGGCAGAGGCACATCGGGCTGGACTCCGGGCAGAGGCACATCGGGCTGGACTCCGGGCAGAGGCACATCGGGCTGGACTCCGGGCAGAGGCACACCGGGCTGGACTCCGGGCAGAGGCACACCGGGCTGGACTCCGGGCAGAGGCACACCGGGCAGGACCCCGGGCAGAGGCACACCGGGCAGGACCCCGGGCAGAGGCACATCGGGCTACCAGGCGAAGCGGCAGGCAGCGGGCCACCGGGCGGAGCGGCAGGCACCGGGCCCCCGGGCGGAGCGGCAGGCACCGGGCCCCCCCGGGCGGAGCGGCAGGCACCGGCCCCCGGGCGGGGCGACAGGCCTCGGGCCCCCGGGCGGGGCGACAGGCCTCGGGCCCCCGGGCGGGGCGACAGGCATCGGGCCCCCCGGGCGGGGCGACAGGCATCGGGCCCCCAGGCGGAACTACAGGTTTCGGGCCCTCGGGCGGAGCGGCGGGTGCCGGACCCCCAGATGGAGCGACAGGCCTCGGGCCCCCAGGCGGGGCGACAGGCATCGGACCCCCAGGCGGGGCGACAGGCATCGGGCCCCCAGGCGGGGCGACAGGCATCGGGCCCCCAGGCGGGGCGACGGGCATCGGACCCCCAGGCGGGGCGGCGGGCGCCGGACCCCCAGGTGGAACTACAGGCCTCGGGCCCTCAGGCGGAGCGGCGGGCGCCGGACCCCCGGGTGGAGCGTCAGGTCTCGTGCCCTCAGGCGGAGCGCGGGCGCCGGACCCCCAGGTGGAGTGACAGGCATCGGGCCCCCAGGAGGGGCGACAGGCATCGGGCCCCCAGGCGGGGCGACAGGCATCGGGCCCCCAGGCGGGGCGACAGGCATCGGGCCCCCAGGCGGAGCGGCGGGCGCCAGACCCCCAGGCGGAACTACAGGTCTCGGGCCCTCAGGCGGAGCGGCGGGCGCCGGACCCCCGGGTGGAGCGATAGGTCTCGGGCCCTCAGGCGGAGCGGCGGGCGCCGGACCCCCAGGTGGAGCGACAGGTCTCGGGGCCCCCAGGCGGAGCGACAGGTCTCGGGCCCTCAGGCGGAGCGGCGGGCGCCGGACCCCCAGGTGGAGCGACAGGTCTCGGGCCCTCAGGCGGAGCGGCGGGCGCCGGACCCCCAGGTGGAGCGACAGGTCTCGGGCCCTCAGGCGGAGCGGCGGGCGCCGGCCGGACCCCAGGTGGAGCGACAGGTCTCGGGCCCTCAGGCGGAGCGGCGGGCGCCGGACCCCCAGGTGGAGCGACAGGTCTCGGGCCCTCAGGCGGAGCGGCGGGCGCCAGACCCCCAGGCGGTGCGACAGGTCTCGGGCCCTCAGGCGGAGCGACAGGTCTCGGGCCCCCAGGCGGGGCGGCGGGCGCCGGACCCCCAGGTGGAGCGGCGGGCGCTGGACCCCCAGGCGGAGCGACAGGTCTCGGGCCCCCAGGCGGAGCAGCGGGCACCGAGTCACCAGGCACGACAGTGGGCTCCGAGTCACCAGGCATGACCGCTGGCACTAGGTCAGACATTGGATCGTCTGGTCTGGCTGGACAGCGGGCATCGGGTCACCAGGCATCAGGTCATTTGGCTCGACAGCGGGCACCGTGTCATCTGGCAAGGCAGTGGGCTCCGAGTCAACTGGTATGACCGCGGGCACTGGGTCAGACATTGGATCGTCTGACCGGACAGCGGGCATCGGGTCACCAGGCATCAGGTCATTTGGCTCGACAGCGGGCAAGGCAGTGGGTTCCGAGTCAACTGGCATGACCGCAGGCACTGGGGCAGACATTGAATCGTCTGGCTGGACAGCGGGCATCGGGTCACCAGGCATCAGGTCATTTGGCTCGACAGCGGGCACCGCGTCATCTGGCAAGGCAGTGGGCTCCGAGTCAACAGGCACGACAGTGGGCACCGGGTCATCAGGTACCGGATTGTCTGGCTCGACAGCAGGCATTGGGTCACCAGGTATGACAGCGGGCACTGGGTCACCAGGCATCAGGTCATTTGGCTTGCCAGTGGGCACCGCGTCATCTGGCAAGGCAGTGGGGCACCGGGTCACCAGGCATTGGATCGTCTGGCTCGACAGCGGGCATCGGGTCACCAGGTATGACAGCGGGCACTGGGTCACCAGGCATCAGGTCATTTGGCTCGCCAGCGGGCACCGCGTCATCTGGCAAGGCAGTGGGCACCGAGTCACCAGGTACGACAGCGGGCTCTGAGTCAATTGGCACGACAGCGGGCACCGGATCAGGTACCGGATCATCTGGATCAACAGCGGGCATCGAGTCAACTGGCCTAATAGGATCGTCAGGCTGGATCAGTTCATCATGCTGGGTAGAGGCATCAGGCTGAATGCCGGCGTCCGGCTGAGTAGAGGCTTCAGGCCGAGTAGAGGCTTCAGGCCGAGTAGAGGCTTCAGGCCGAGTAGAGGCATCAGGCCGAGTAGAGGCATCAGGCCGAGTAGAGGCTTCATCAGTAGAGGCATCAGGCCGAGTAGAGGCATCAGGCCGAAGAGAGGCATCAGGCTGCATACAGGCATCAGGCTGAAGAGAGGCATCAGGCTGCATACAGGCATCAGGCTGAAGAGAGGCATCAGGCTGAAGAGAGGCATCAGGCTGAAGAGAGGCATCAGGCTGAAAGAGGCATCAGGCTGCGTACAGGCTTCAGGCTGAGTAGAGGCTTCAGGCTGAGTAGAGGCTTCAGGCTGAGTAGAGGCTTCAGGCTGAGTAGAGGCTTCAGGCTGAGTAGAGGCTTCAGGCTGAGTAGAGGCTTCAGGCTGAGTAGAGGCTTCAAGCTGAGTAGAGGCTTCAGGCTGAACCACGGAAGGCAGGCTCACCGGTTTGGATACTGGCAGGATGGTATTGGTTGGAAAGAATTTTCGCTTTTTTCTGGTTTTAACTACTGGAGCACTGCAAGTAAACGCAGGTCTGCAAACGAATGGAGCAGCTGGAGACAGAGAAGAACTGGAGGATGGAACAGGAGAGGGAGCAGTTGCTACAGAGGGCTTTTTTACAGGGTTAAAGGTAGGATAGGTGCAGCGAGTGGGAACAGGGACTGACATGCGGTAGATAGCCAAGTATACTGGGCTGTAACTGGAGGAGCTGTTGGGAATACAGGAGAAGAGTTAGAAGCAGGACTGGGTCTTTGTAAGCTGACTGAGGCTGGGTGCAACAAGTCTGTCCATGTCTGCAGTATGGGTTGAACAAAGCTGAGCTTACACAAAGCCTGTCTGGTCAATGACTGCACTGCGTTTATACAATCTCTTAGTGTCTGTGGTGAACATGTGGAATAACGCTCCAGAAAGTAACCCACATCATCCTCTAATAACCACACCAGGGACTCTACCTGGTCGGCACTAAATGGTGGCAAAAATTCATCCCTGCATTCGGGGGAACCAGATGAAACCAACTCTGCACAAACCTCAATCAAAGGCTGCACCTCAGAGAACTCTGTGCCCTGATCTACTAGAACATGAGCGAGCCGTATACATTCTAGCAGTTCATCCCGGGTATACTCCTTCAGAGTTTGATAAGCATACTCCCTGTCATCAAACACTACTAGCAGATATAAATACACAACCTCATCCAGATCCATCCTTCCCATCAACAAGCCAAGATGGCTTCCCTGTGCAGCCACTTCTGGTCAGGATTGGCCTTGGTGTAATGTCAGGGCTCCCAGGTATGACCAGAGGTGTGTGACTGAAGCAGGGAAACGCAGACTTCAGATATGTGATTAACAATGTGATTTATTAACACTAACAATACAAACATAAACGCAGTGCAATACTAAACATAATACAGTGCAAACAAACCCAACCAACCACCCACAGATAACAGTACATACAAGCAAGCGTCGTCAGGCAGGCCGAGTCAATATCAATTGGGCAGGTAGGTACAGGGGGAGCAAGCGGAGAGTGGTCGGGGTCACAGGCCAGGTTCAGCAGGTAGCAAGCAGCGTAGTACAGAGGGTCAGGCAGAGGGATGGTCAGGGTCACAAGCCAGGGATCAGAACAGGTAGCAAAGGAACAGAAACAGGATGCAGGACAGATACAGGGCCCCAGGACAAACACAACACCAAGGCAGAGTCTGCAAGTCTGGCCATCCCTTAAATACACCAGTATCATCAGTTCCAGGTGTTAGCTGGCTGAAAGGTTGAGTCTCTGATTGCTGGGAGCACCCGCTGGCCAGCCCTGGTACTGCAGATCAAAAGGCAGGTGAGTCCCACCATTGCTGGCCAGTCCATTCCTGACACTATCCTTCAGAGGGGGCAGACTGTGGCCAGTGGGAGTAGAAAATGTCCTAGTGTCTGTGAGAGTAAACAAAGATCAGTGAATGTTTACAGAATTAGCACCTGTAGTCAGTGGGAGGAGGAATAGTGCCCCATCAATGGTATTGGTTGGAGGCACAGTGCCAATGCATTTAAATCAGTGGGAGAAATTATACCCCATTGCTGGTGCCAGTGGGAATGGTGATGCCGAACAAGCAAGAGGCTTCATTCGGGAAATGGACCACAGTTCGGAGACCACTGCTTTAGAGTAAATGAATATCAATGGCAACTTTTTTAGGTTTTATTAGATTTTAGTTTGGCACTGAAATGGGTATGGGGGGTGGTGGGGGAGTTGCCACCAGAATAAGAATAGAGGGGAAATATTTCAGTAAGACAAAAGTGTTCCAGCGATAACTGTGTTAATATGGATTTTTTTCAGATTTTAGAGATTCCTCTCACTCCCTGCTGTTGCCTTTGAGAAACACAATTTCTACATTGTTTCACTCTGCAGCATAATGCTGTCATGTTGCTTCCCTAATCGCAGGTTCACCTTACTGTATTTGAGTAATAGATCATTGAATAATATAAATATGTATGCACAACTGTCTGTTATTTCTTGCTATGCAAATTTGTTTCAAGTATTCATCTTTCTGTTTTACTGTTAGCACAAATTATTTTTAGAAGCAAATGAAAATTCAGATTTCAACAAATTAATGTCGTCAATATGCTAAATATGGCAATTATATTGGTCTTAATTACACTTGAAAATTTATATTTGAATAGTAATTTGCCATTTTTGTAAACATTGAAGTGTATTGCGGCAGTTATAATTATAACCAAATCAAAATAGCGATAAAAGGGAAACTAACAAAATGTTTGCTCCTGTCTTCTCAGACATTACAGGTGAAACTCGAAAAATTAGAATATGGTGCAAAAGTTCATTTATTTCAGTAATAAAACTTAAAAGGTGAAACTAATATATGAGATAGACTCATTACATGCAAAGCAAGATAGTTCAAGCCGTGATTTGTCAGAATTGTGATGATTATGGCTTACAGCTCATGAAAACCCCAAATCCACAATCTCAGAAAATTAGAATATTACATGCAATCAATAAAACAAGGATTGTACATAGAACAATATCGGACCTCTGAAAAGTAGAAGCATGCATATGTACTTAATACTTAGTACTTGGTTTGGGCCCCTTTTGCAGCAATTACTGCCTCAATGTGGCGTGGCATGGAAGCTATCAGCCTGTGGCACTGCTGAGGTGTTATGGAAGAGACCAGCTCTTCTGCATTGTTCGGTCTCATGGCTCTCATCTTTCTCTTGGCAATGCCCCATAGATTCTCTATGGGGTTCAGGTCAGGCGAGTTTGCTGGCCAATCAAGCACAGTAATCTCACGGTCATTGAACCAGGTTTTGGTGCTTTTGGCAGTGTGGACAGGTGCCAAGTCCTGCTGGAAAATAAAGTCAGCATCCCCAGTCAGCTCGTCTGCGGAAGGAAGCATGAAGTGCTCCAAAATCTCCTGGTAGATGGCTGCGTTGACCCTGGTCTTAATGAAGCACAGTGGACCAACACCAGCAGATGACATGGCTCCCCAAATCAACACAGACTGTGGAAACTTCACACTGGACTTCAAGCATCTTGCAGTGTGTGCCTCTCCATTCTTCCTCCATACTCTGGGTCCTTGGTTTCCAAATGAGATGCAAAAGTTGCTCTCATCAGAAAAGAGAACTTTGGACCACTGAGCAACAGACCAGGTCTGTTTTTCTTTAGCCTAGGTAAGACGCTTCTGACATTGTTTGTTGAGGAATATGACATTTGAAGCCCATGTCCAGGATCCGTCTGTGTGTGGCGGCTCTTGATGCACTGACTCCAGCCTCAGTCCACTCCTTGTGAAAGTCCTCAACACTTTTGAATGGCCATTTCCTGACAATCCTCTCTAGGCTGCGGTCATCCCTGCTGCTTGTGCACCTTTTTCTTCCACACTTTTCCCTTCCACATAACTTTTTATTAATGTGCTTTGATACAGCACTTTAGGAACATCCAACTTCTTTTGCAATTACCTTTTGAGGCTTTCCCTCCTTATGGAGGATGTCAATGATGATTTTCTGCACAATTGTCAGGTCAGCAGTCTTTCTCATGATTGTGATTCCTACTGAACCAGACTGAGAGACCATTTAAAGGCTCAGGAACCCTTTGCAGGTGTTATGGCTTAATTAGCTGATTAGAGTGGGACACTTTGAGCCTAGAATATTGCACCTTTCACACAATATTCTATTTTTCTGAGATTGTGGATTGGGGTTTTCATGAGCTGTAAGCCATAATCATCACAATTCTGACAAATCACGGCTTGAACTATCTTGCTTTGCATGTAATGAGTCTATCTCATATATTAGTTCAACCTTTTAAGTTTCATTACTGAAATAAATGAACTTTTGCATGATATTCTAATTTTTTGAGTTTCACCTGTATATGGTGGAAGTTGATGTAATGACCAATGTAAAGCTGGTGCATCACCCTCCTAGATAGGTGCTAGGATTAGTAAACTTAGCTCTGGCTCGCTATATCCAGTGGAGCTGCATTTTTGTTAGGTACATTTAGTTTAGCTCACTGTAATCACTGTGGTTGTTTGTGATTGGTTAGGTTTGTTCTGTGTTTTACAGGCTGCAGGTTTTGTTACTCCTCCTGCAATCTAGAACTCTCTGGATGGTTCTGGAACATAGGGGGGGACTAAGGCAGATGAGCAGAATTAATATTTATACTGTCACAGCCAATCCTTGAGAAAAGATTGCACAGAAGGGGCTGAGAAACTGTATATAT